ACAGCAAGTTCATCATAGATTGCATCTTGAACACCATTTGGTGGTGGACGAAAGTTCCAATGTGTATCGTTATTAACAGGTGCCACAGGAATAAAATGACATTGATAATTAGAATAATTTCCTCTGCCATAAAAACGAAAACTACTACTAGATACATCAGGTGGTGCATCATCTGTAATGACAGGAAATGGATTGAGTAAAACAACATAGCACATAATCAAACAACCATTAGGATTTGTATATTTTGTAGCATATTCAGCAGATGATGTAAAATACATAGCTGTACCATACCATCCCTTATCCAATCTACTAAGTGCTGCAAATCCATCTGATAACAATTTGGATAAAATAGTACGCTTACATCCATGCCAAACACGAATGACTGAAACTGGTCGATTATGATGAACTTGTTGTGTCAACATATGTAGTCGATTAAGAACTTTTTTTCGTTCAATTGGATTAGATTCTGCATTCAAATTAGGTTGAAATTCCTGTTGCTTTTGTCGACGTTCTGTACGCTTAATTTGTTGAAGAAACATTCGATGTAAATCAGCATTATGAATAAGTTCTATTTTGTCAATATCTATGTCATTAGGTAATGGTCCAAGCCATTTTAAAATTCGATTATACAACTTCAAATGAATATTGTTTTGAAGAGGTTGTAGAATGCATGACATAGTATTCGGATATGTATTATCCGAAAGATACAGAGGATGAAAGAAATCTCCATCAAATTCATCATCATAGTCATCTAGAGTAGGAATGCTTGATGACAATTGTATTCCACATTGTTTTTTCAAATTTTCGATACCGTTTAAAATAACTCGACGATTAAATAAACTTTCAACTCCAAACTCCCGAAGAGTTTTATTATCAACAAAATGAAGTAAACGATATCCATCAACGTTATGTCGCTTGAAGCCATCTATATAAGTTGAGTAAATTTCACCCCATGATTGTATCCAAGCACAAACATCGTCACAAGACCATGATAAACATTGTTTGTCGTCTAACACTAGAAATAAATAAATAAATAAATAAATAAATGTATGGTATATTGCACGTCAATATATGAAAATATTGCCCACAAGAACTTTCTGAGATTGGAATTAATTTTTATCTGAATAAGTTCATAGAAAATTTCGATTCAACAGTGAAAATTCATAGCTGTAACTTCTGATAGATAGGATCGAAAGGACAACTTCCTTGAGGTTGCACAAAGTTCATGCACCTGATGTTTTTTATGGTAACCATTTGTCCCTAGGTTGTTCATCAATGGAATCCTAAGAATGAAACTCACCATACTTTGATCGATCAAAAGGCTGCAAACTTGTAGAAGTTTCACGTGTAAACAAGTCAAATGTACTTAATGCTGACGGTGCATCTTTTGAATTTCTTGTAGAAGATTGTGAACAAGCAAGAATGTTTTGTAGAGAGTAGTTTTGTTCCGGTCTTATAAGCCTACTATCCTTATTCGCATTGTATGGACTTATCAATGCTGAATTTTGTGGTACGATTAGGTCTAAAAATGTAGTATTTTCAGGCGATTCAGCATTTGCATCAGAGGAACGCCGTTCGCCAGGCAATTTTAAATTCCTATCATCTTGATCAGATTTTCTTCGACTCAAAGTGTTCCCTATTAATGAAGTGCGCTCATCTGTAGAAGTAATCGATTGAGGATAACTCGGTGCAAACTCATGCTGGTCATTGTTATGTGCTATTTTCTTTGAATCGTGCATAGAATTAACTGGAGAAACACATTCTTCGGCTCGTAAAAAATGTATATTCGAATTTGTTGTGTCGACAGGCCCTTCATTAATAGCTTCTTTAGATTGAGATGTCAAGTTCAACTGTGGTATCATATTATTATATTTAAATGTTTCTTTATTCGTTGGTGATGTTAATGGCGAGACTGAATGCTGCCAGCAAGTATCTAAATGAATAAACCGATATTGTCTTGAATTTTCGTTTTTTCTCTGTACCTGCTATTTTATTATGTTTCTGTGAATCAACGATAGAAGTATCATCGTCATCCTGTGAGGAGCGCATATTTAAGTTATGATCATGTGCTACTATTGTGGTACTAGGTTCATTGAAATAAAGTTGACCTGAAGACGGTAAAATTCCTAGAGATGAAGTTTCTGATGGGTGCCACATCTCTCCTTCATAAGCAATCCAACTGCTCAAGTTTAACATAAATTTCTTAGCATAAACATGTGTAAGCCAACGTAGAGGTAGTTTCTTGTACCCATAGTAAGCCCCAGCTAATTGTCCATATATGGCAGCAGTTGTATCAGTATCATCACCAAGATTCACAGCGGCACGAGCACCTCGTTCAAATGAGTTTCCATCAGACCAAAATGCCCATAAAGCTGCTTCAAGAGCATTAACTGTATCTCCTTTACCTCGAATTCCATCTTCATATCCACCTGGTTTCTGATAAGAACCTTCAGCAATCTGTTTAATCTCATTACAAAGAGGTCGTTCACCAAACCATTCCATATGTTTAGAATAAAACTGTTTATCAAGAAGTTGCTCTTTTGTGTAATCCTGAAGAGCAGCAACAATAAGAGCAC